TGGTAAGGATTATGGGCAAAGCCTTTGAAAACCCTATTGATTACATGTCAGTTCGTTAGAAATAACTGCACACGAACAATAAAAACATTCGCTATTAAAACAGTACTTGAGTCATTTGAGTAGCATTGTCTCAGAGAAAATATTCGCGGGGTTGTGGGGTATTAGTTCAGATTCAGACTGTCGAGGGAAACCGGGGACACAAATAATCATGCAAGCGTTTCTGGAAGAGTTGCAAAGACATCGCCTCCACGACGGACTGAGGGAGATCGTTCCATTTCTCCACTTCTCTCTGCGTGAAAAATTCACAACGAAGATTCAACCTGAACATTGTTGTCCGTAACTTCATCGAGTGACCATGAAGATTGGGCTAAAGGTGTCACTGAAACATGTTCTCAACGCTAAGTCCATGCTGAAGGCCATGTATTATCTTGTAGACGAGGATAAGATCACCTCTTTGCTGCCTGTAACACAGAGGGAATAAATTAAGGCAATTCAGTCTGTCTGGGTATGACTGGCTTTTTAGACCGCCTACCAGGTTTGTTGCACGCCGTTGTACTCGTTCGAGGCATGTTTGGTCCTTTACTAGCCATGACCGCCGTGCTTGTGTGCCATATTCTAAGTGGGGCCGTACAAAGGTGCCGTAAACTCTCCCAAAAAAGTCTTGGTCAAGGGTTACGAAAGCCCTTTTGATTGCATGGTGCACTCCCATGGCGTTTTTTGCAGCCTTGTGGCACTGTAGTGTTGGGTTCAGGTTGTTCTGTATCCAAACCCCGAGATCCTTCTGGGAAGATTCTGCGGGGAGCCCTATATGTGGAAAGAAATTTCTAAGAAAGCACACTACATCGACGGCAAACTTCAAAGTGGTCGACAATTGATGGTTTGGATGGCTATTAAACTCGGAGAGCGGCCACTTTGGCGGTCGACTACGGATACGATCAACAACAAGTTGTTCGTAAAAATTGCAAAGTATGTCTTCGGCTACAACAACACCCACCAATGTGAAATGGATACCAAAATTTTACTCGATACTGCCCCTGTCCGCCGCCCTGAAGAGGTGTGAATCTGCCTACGCTTGCAACTGAAATCCAGCTCTTTGGACAACAGTCGTCTTCTTCGCATGTGGCTTGCACTCGATTTCTATTCCTGCCAACAGCCTGAATTTTAATTTTATCGAAAATCGTTTTGTACTTATCAAAATGTTGGCACAAGGCAAAGAAGAATTTTCAAATGTAAAGAAGGCTTGATCTTGTGCCAGATAATCACAATGAGCAATGCACTCAAGACAATCTGACTGCCGCCATGTCTGAGAGACGTTCTGCTGTGTTAAATGCAAATGAGTAGTCAACAAGGTACTGATTTCCCTCATTTGTTATTATTATTATTTTTCCTTACTTTTCGCTTTTTGCGCGGCCCCTCCTCATGCAACTTTATAGTTTGCCTTATTTAAGTGGTTTGTACTGTAACCATTATCGGAGACTTTGGTTGAAAGTGAAAATTTGTCATTTTCTCGTTAGTAAATGGTAATTTATAATCTTAACCACGCTTCCTGTTTAAGAACGGTCTTTTTTATAGCTGTAAACTTTGAGGAACGCGTTGTACTGCGGATTTTCCGTTGCAGGGATTTTCTTTTGAAGCTCATGACATTTCACGAGTTATCACGTCTACTGTGGGTGGCTGGGAGGCGATTTTCAGTCTCTATGTTAAAGTCAGACTTCGGATATAAACCTATCGAAGGAAGACTAGGCCAGCACCTTCAGGCCCTGTCCCGAATGGGAAGAGAAGGGGGAGGCTAGTGGGCAGGATAGTATATTCTGTACAGAATAACCGGAGAAGAGGTTGGAGAGAGTTCGCACCCGGACAAGGGCACGTCCGGCGCCGGATGAGCGGCATCCAAAGTTCCCATCAGGGAATGCCTCAAAGCGTTTTAAGACAGGCCACGTCTGACTCGGTCTTGAATCTGATTGGTCGGCAGGGAAGCTCAGTGGGCGAATGTCAGACAGCCCTGGTGCGCACGTGCAAACACCCGCGAGCTGCCCTTCGTCGCAGTAGGCGCTCTAAGTAGGGCCACTACAAACCCTCCTCTTAGCCCCTTTGAAGTCAACCGATTAATTAAAACAACGTTGTATAGGTGCTCGCGTTAATATGAGGAAGCTTCTTGGTGCTCATAGCATACAGCATGGGATATGACCAGGTTTTACACTCTGGGTGCAACATTAACATGTGTTCAGATATCGAGTTGCGTAAATGATCAAAAGAGTGCGCCCACATATATCGAGTTGCTGGTCATGCGAAAAATTACCCTCCTAAGCTAATTGTAAAATCTGGTGAGAATGCAGAAGGGTAAGAAAAAGATAGTTTCCTACCCAGTACATATATAGAATAGCTTTTCCGCCCTTTTTTTGGAAAACGTGACAGTGCGGTAAGACCAGACAGAGTATGCGCTTCCTTGTGTTTAAGAGGATTATAAACCATTTCTCATGTTTTATTATTGGCGTCAGCTAACTCCATGGGTTGGACTGAAGTGGGTGTTCGAGACGGGATATCGCTGACACAGAAAAATCGAGTGAAAGGACTACAGTTTCAGAGGAGACATGTGTTCTGCCGCCTCTGCTGCAGCAGCAGCAGCAGCATCCCGCGGAGTCTGGGTTCACTTCATTGTGGTCAGATAAACACTGTTCTCAGGAAAGCTTGTGTCCCTAAGAGTCTACGTGAAATCAATTCATCTCGCAAGAAAAAGTTAGATGAATGCCCCACCATTAATGAAAAAGTCATGTCGCACTGGTAGGCCTACGGGCTCGACCGTTACAACCATGCACGGATGGGGCGTAAATAGTACCTGTTTTCTCGAGTGATATCGGCACGATGACCTAAAATAACGCTTATAACAGACGACCATAGGACAGTTTATTTTAGCTAAGTGAAGAAGGAACAGGTCCCCAGGAAGATCCATTCAGGCTGGAGTAACATGATTGTTT